CTTCCGGTACTATGGTGTCCATGCGAAGCACGATCTCCACTTTGTCTATTGCGTGCGGTCACAAGAATGGGAACTCCCGTTCTCATATCAAGACTGCCCCTCTTTCTGAAGTCGATATCGAGAACCAGCACCTCCTACCGGTCCATGCTCCCCTTCGGTCCGCTCAGGCGTCTTTGCGATCTGTGCTCGGCGTCCAAAGAAAGGAGCGACCTGCTCTCACGTCGTTTGAGGCGCTGAATCAGCACACGACCTCAGACCATTCCAACGGGAATCTACTATCTCCTGCGCACACGACCAAAATCCTCCGCCCCACCGCGTCTTCCTCGTCCCAGATAATCCGTCACGCTTCCTCGTCCGACTCACTCTCGACTGCCTCCTCGTCAGAGGCACCAGTGACCCCCCGAACCCACTCCCCACTTCTCGACGAGTCACGCCCTACCCTAGCTGATCTGGAGCAGGCCTCGAGGTTCCGCGTTAATGCCGTATGTATTACGTGTAGGAGGAAGGGATCAAACTTTCCCAGCTGTGCCAGCTGTGGAGAGATGTGGTGTTCGCGGGAGTGCCGTTTGAAATGGAACAGCGGTCGGAGGCACTCGTGCTCAAGAACGACCGGGATGATCGGGGGTTCTACCAGTTATCTATGAGAGCTCGTGCACGGCCTTTCTACTATCATATCGTCTCTAGCATTTTCCTTTTACCCACGCATGTCTGCTACATAGTCTCGTGCATGAGCATGCATCGCACCCGCACCGCTGTTGTATCACTAGCGATAATCAGAGCGTAGATAGCGATCCATTCGGCTTCAGCACTTCCAAACTGTGTGACAGACTCGAAACATTTGGGTAAGAACCTGCCAAGGACGGTCTAAATGCCGTCCTGACAGAAGCTTATGGAAGAACGTTTGGTGTCGCAAGTTCCTAACTTCCGCCGTGCGTCTGCCCTGAGGACGTATTCAGAAATTGGACAGTCGCCGGTTATGTCGATCACTCACCGGTGCCTTATACGACGCTTAAGCCGGAGCTTACAGAAATATACTATCTTTGCGCCACACCTCTACGACAAGGACAGGACTACTTAACGACTACTTCGACGACCTCTGTTTACGACCCGACGAGTGTCAAGGTCGCTCCTTACGACTAGAGCTAGAAAGATTGCCGGCGGAGTTTGTCGGAGCCCCGTCGACCGAGGGGTATAACTATCACCTATCGAATCGCTCGTCTGACCTCTATAGACACATCTGCGACTCATTTTACCTCCTCTTCCGTGTCAATCTGTCGCCAGTCTCACGTTCTGGTCTAGACTGCGGCCTACAAGGCAGAATCAGAACGGCGATACGCACTTCTCAGCGTCTCTCGTGCAATTTGTAGGTCGTGTGACGCTAAATCGCAAGGCGCCCGGGCTGACATCCTATAAGTCTCTGCAAGGCATAGACATAGAACACGGTAGAGACCTTCATCTCATGACTACGGTTGTCCAGCCCGATCAATTTCTGGAGTCCTGTACGCAATCTCGCAATGAGGTATGACGACCTGGAGCGACTAAGACAAAGGACCCACTGACGCCGCTTCTCATGTCCATAGACCTCTTTCTCTATGAGCCCAGCCCCCCATGGTGCACTGAGCGCCTTTCGCCATTCCCCAGCATGGCTAGCTGCGACGCACACGGGATCCGAGAAGACACATCCTCGAATCGTGACGAGCCAGCGGCTGCACGATACCCCATCCTCCCACACAACTTCAAAAACAACCCATGTTTGCGGCCCGGTTGTTCCTCGAGACCTCGCATCCGACGGAGGATCGAGTATGTCCAGTGCCCACCTCACTCACATCCGCGCAAAGTCAGCAGCCGCATGCATGTCGAGTTATTCTATGACGGAGCCATGTGATGATACCGCTGGCTCCGACGGAGCGAAGGCCGCGCCCAGAGGATGTTCGAGGCGGGGTGCACGCCGTAGGCATTTCAGAACCGCTTCCACCTTCTCTGTCATCATGTCCGCGCCCAGAACGACGCCGCCAGTGTTAGAAGCAGCGGTGAGCAACTGCGAGTCACTGGGTTCCTTTACCCCCACCAGCTGTCCGCGTCAGTCCCTGCTGTCTCTCCTAGCCCCAGGCCCCGTGCCCCCCACCCCGCGTTACTCCCACGAGTTGAGCCGTTCCACACCTTGGGTGCCATTCACCGAAGAGTCGGGCCGCTCCTCGCCTAGTCCACCACCCTCCACGCTAGATTCCCCCATCCCATCCATATGCCGCACCCCATCTGAAGACAACGGTTCTGATTACTTTCCAAGTGCCCCATCATCCGCGGGCCCTTCCACCCCTGCACACTCTATCTGCGGTTCCCCGCGCCATCTCCGCACAAAGTCGCTGCACACCGTGCTCGAGTCCCTCGAAGATGCGTCCAAGTTCCACGTTCAGGCGTCGTGCGCGACGTGCAAAAAGGTAGGCAACAACTTCCCCTGCTGCCCGAGGTGCGGCGAAATGTGGTGCTCGAGAGAATGCAGATTGAAAGGCGGCAGCAGGAAAAGGCATGTATGCAGTAAAAGTGGCCAGTGACCGGGAAGGTTGTCCGTGTTCACATCTTTACTTCGAGTTATCTTTCATGGTCATATATCTTGGTATCTTGGATTAAATGTAGGATAGATATCATCGTCAACCTCTTGCACGTCTCCGTTTTGTACTTGCTATCGTGCATTTCGTAATGTGGATTTCTCTTCATCCGGCTGTATCACCTGAGAACGAAGTACGAGAGTCGATGTCCGATGGAACCCCTTCATTGACAATGGTTGTAAAAGAGAGTCGGCATTCAATGTTTCCTCAGAACAGCTCCAGGTGAACGAGCAAGCAGGAGAGACGTCACGGTCTATGAGCATATTGAAGACCATCGAATCGGCACTTTTAGCCCCGCGCTTCTGCAACCGTATTGGTGCGGACTCGAGATCAGTTACGAACTGCAGCTATATCGCTTCGCTACAGCATGCAGAAATGCATGGATATCCGACAAGTCTGAACATGCGATCTCATATGTGGTGTAAAATCTATGCAAAGGTGATCTTCTTGCCCTGAGGCGCCACCATACTCGGGTTGAACTTTTCCTTAAGTCGCTTCTTGGCCTCCCAAGAGGGATGGAGCGGTTTCTCTTGCTCCTTGATGTTTGAGCGTGGCTGAGGCCTATTCCCCGCAGCATGATCTGGCCGAGGGGCATTCGGCCGCGCTTGAGGAGGTGGCGGACCTCGCTTGCTAGAAGGCGTGCTATTACGAGGGCCTCCCTTTTGGTTCCAGCCTGCGCCCTTCTGGCGAGGATTCTGTGCTGCGACTTCATGCTCCTTCTTGACATGATTCGCATTCCTGCCGTACTTCTTCTCCCAGATCCTGTGAGCGCCCATCAGCAAGTGGTATCTATATGGACAGTGCCAAGGTGACTTACGCCCTGCGAGCCCGTTGCCCTCGCCTGTTCTTCCGCACATCATCGGCGGCCTTCGCCTCCGTGTCGCTGAAGTCCGACGCGTCAGAATCCCCGCGTGTGAAGCCGACGGAGAGTGAAGGGAGGAATGTGGATTCAGCCCCCGTAGCCTTCGATTTGCCCTTCGTGTCCTTCCCAGCCGCGCTTTGCCTAGGAACTTTCTGAGGTGGAGGTCGTGTTTCTGAGTCAGAGGATTCCTCGTCGACTTCATCGTCACTATCCGAAGATTCAACCTCTGAAGACGCATTTTGGGGAGGACGAGCTGCCGGTCCTTCATTGATGGAGCCCGATTCCCATCCGACATCGTCCGCTTCCTCATCCTCTTCACTCTCTCCGTGAACCGACCCCGACTCCCACCCTATGTTGTCGGGCTGTTCGTGGTCAGACTCGTCTTCTGCCTCGACGAGCATTGCGGCAGCAGTCGCTCGCTCGCTAGCTTTCCCCAGACGTTCCATGTCTTCTTCCCCGGCATTTCCCTCTTCGTCGCCGTCTTCTTCACCTTGAAACTCGTCTTGTTTCAGCTTCTTTGTAGGGTTGATAACCTCTCTCAGTGATTCCACGACGGCGTGTACTTCTGCTGCTAGCGTCTTGGAGCTCAGTAGACGGCTCTCCACTCTTGCAACTGGAGTGCCCGCAGGGGAGGGCGCGAGAAGATCTGCCGATAGCTCAACAGTAATGGCAGCCTGCGCGTGTGTATTGGAGGAGAGGACGCGATCTTTCTTCAATTTTGATTTGAGAGCACGCTTTGCCACCGGGTCATGGTCTATGTGCTGCATCATGGTATTGGCGAGGGAAGTAGGAAACATGATAGTAGAATGACATACTTTAAGGACTTCCAGCTCGGATTCGAGACCAACGATGGCTTCAGCGTTCGGATCTTTGGCTCTGAGGAGTCGGTGTTTGCGAACACGCATATCATTTCATGCAATCAAAATCATACCTCAATCCCTTAAGCCGCTTCACTAATCTCTGAGTCTCAAAGATTTTAGCTTTCTTCGCAGCCTTGCGTACTTCCCGCAAGCCATGGTGCTTTCAGAACTTAATGAATTGAGTGTTGCAAGTTGTGAGCGAGCACGCAAGACATACCAGCTTCCCCGTCAGCTTAGTAGTCAGGTTCTCCTGGATAGAGCAGCAGACATGATATGCGAATATCCACTTCAGAGGATCGCGGCGAGCATACCTCTGAGGACGTTGTCTCTCTCTTCCGCTTTATTCCTTGCTTCTGCTTTTCATTAGGCATTGCTGTGTCTGGTTCAGCGGACTTGATATCTTGCGAGTGCGTATGTAGCAGGGTATCGTGGAGCAAGATATGAGTGAGTACTCCGCGATGGGTGTGGTCGACGCTCTTAAAATGTCCTTCGAGAATCGAGAATCCAGGACGTATCACGTGACAAGACTTGAGGAAGCTCAAGTTCTCAACGTTGAAGGAGTGCAAAGATGGTCACGACAAGAATCACAAGAAAGTAAAATTGCATAGCTATCCCAATACTAGCAGTAAACACTTTGGCTCCTTATGCGGAGAAAAAGGCACCGTTGACAAATGGACATGTCCGGGATCGAACCGGACCCCTCTCGCAAGCTGCTCTACTAGCTAAGGAGTAATATGCTAAGCGAGCGTGATAACCAACTACACCACATGCCCATGCACATCCGTGGGCTCCCGCTCACCCGGATCGAATACTTATCAGTAGTTCTGAGCAAGCCGATACAAAACGTACTGTCCGGCCTGCGAGGTCAGAGGACGCGATGCGGGGTCATTTACTAAAAGAAACAGTAGCTTCAAGAATCACGCACGGTGACAGGCTCGTACTTCTTGGGTCTTTCTTCGGAGTAGGTCCCGGGCAGACAGTCAATCATGGCGGAGAAATCCTATATAGATCCCGCAAATCAGCCTGACAATGAATTGACATGCCGAGCTGGAGAGTTTACCGCTGAGCAGAACTGCAATATGTCATGTTAGTGATGCGTTGCTATCTCAGAAGAGCTCTCTCACATAGGGTATAGAGTATCGCTCGGGGGTCACCCCGTCCTTGGCGGAATTGGGAGGAGCTCGGACGCGGTGAATTGTGCTTCTAATCGTGTCATTTGACCCTGACTTCCGCGTGTGATTGAGAAGACCTCATCAAACTGGACTCTGCCACATACAGCGTGCCAGCGTATCTCCTGCGTTGACTATGAGTGCGCCTTCAACGGGGGATGCACTCTGCAGAAATGTTAGCTCAAGCACGTAGGACCTGGTCAGGAGTACACACCAGGAACGTCCCCGGGTTGTTCGGGTCCTCAATCTCCAAGCCTCCAACGTCGTCCTGTAGGAGTAATGTGATGCTTCCGAAATCAGAATGCGCGCCAATTCTGGCTACTTCCTCCCTCTCCAGCTGCTCGACGGGTACGCTGAGGGTCGATAAGCCAAGAGACAGGTGGCAAGAGATGGGTGATGGCGAGCCGACCTTGGGTAGCGGAGGAGTCGCAATTGATTATCAACTGCGGAGTGGTACTCGAGTAGAAAGCCCTCCGGAAGGTTCAGTCCCAGTGCGAGAGCCTTCAGTATATTCAATTCTGCCTCACGGCATGTCTGTGAGTGAATACTGTGAGAAGAAAATTCTTCAGCGCTCAGTTCATGCGAAACATCTTCACCCAGAAGAAATTAAGGCAAGCATTCCTAAAACCAGGCAAGGCATCCTCCGGGAGCCAGATGTTAGGCTGGACGATATCGTCCTCGCGGCCGCTCTCGAAGCTCTCCTTTACGTCAGGAGCTTTGCCTCGGATCTTCGCCAGTTCAGCGCTGTCGTATACATGCTGAGTGACCTTCTCCGCGCCAGGGGCGGAATAGCCTACGGATATGCATGAACTACGTAGTCTACAGTTGGCCATGGGGCAAGATCACCCACCACGGTGATGCGTTCCAGATGACGGGTGAGGCGCAAGCATTTTGATATCTTGAGGCAGTGAGAAGAACTTCTTGGACTGCATGCACAGAAGTAAGTTAGTCTGTAATGCCTAGGCTGTCGCTTTACCCTCACCCAGTCGAACATACTCTGAACCTTGTCCTGCGAGATACCATGGTTGACCAGATACACGAACCCAGTATCTTGGAATGACTTGAGCATTGCATCTGCGACTTCCTGCTTCTTGGCACCGTTCAAGAAGGCGCCGAAATCTATGACAGAAATGCCATGTTCATCGCCCATCCTGACGTCTGCCATGGTGGAGGGGTCTCTGACTTCAAGAGTAGCGGAGTAAAGGTAGAGAAAGGCGTAATCAGCGCTCAGCTTCCGCACGCTTGATATACATTCTTCGAACCACGAGGCGAAGGAAGCAGCTTATGCTTTGTCAACTTGGGCCGCACGTCCGATGAATTCGATACTCGCAGACTAGCCACTGGTTATTGAATTAGGTGCTCTGTCACTGCAGCTCCAGATAATAGCGAATAGCAGGAATGGTGTTACCCGTGTTGTGCCCGTGGAGCGTTGGATCAACCAGCGGTGAACGAGACGCGGTGTCTCTGGAGGCTTTAGTGGAACTCGGGAGTCGGTGGGGTCGGGCCGGGTGGACAGTCATCAGCAGATCGTGGAGATTCTTAGCTTCGTCTCTTAGACTCTCGTCGATGTCGCTTATTCCACAGCTCGCTCCACGCATGATGCTCCTTACGAGAATAATTTTCTTGGAAACCGAAATCAAGCAAAAGAGTGATTTACTTAATTCCAACAATTGGTGATTGCCCTCAGGCTCTGAGGCTCCGACTTACTTATGCCGTGCGTATACTTCCCAGTGCAACGAAGGGCGTAGACTGGTTCCTGGTCACATGATGGTATACTTATAGCGTACGATGTGGCAATTGGGTGTGTGCTAAACATATGGAGACGTGGACATTCCAAGTGTGCGATGCACTCATCCTCTCGTCTGAGCTGTCGCTCCGCCGAAGTGAGTGCCCACTATTCTACGTCTACTGTAATCCAATTGCGCACCAGAACGGATGGATAGCGAGCTTCTCCAAATCCCACTGTACCGGACGCTTTAGTTCCCGCTGCTTCATGGGTTCTAACTTCTGGGATCACTCACTACTTTGCCCGATGTGTAGAAGGGATCTTTCGTTACGATATCCTTCACAGCCTGCAGACTCTCCGCCTCGATGACTATAAGGGACCCCACCATCACTTGCTTAGCATTTGGGGAGCCGAAAGAGTCATCGGAGAGAAGCGCGCCTCCCAGCTCTGCCATCATGGATCATTAGCTAGTCGATGATTCCACACTCCCGAAAGTGCTCACTGAAGACGCCGTTGTTGATATAGTCGCAGGCTGCCTTCATATGCGCTTCCTTAAAGGCTTCCCGATGACCCGGTGTATCCGGATCGGTCTTGTCAGGTGCGTACACGACGAACTTATGCAAGGTGGGGCTGCCGGTGGACCACTTCCGTCTTACAAACCATAATCAAAATCTCGGGAATCCTCCGCTCCAACCATTGAGAAAGCAGGAGCCGCAGTCGGAAATCGGGATATCACCGTGGGCATCAACGTATGGACCAGGCCAGGTCATGCTGAGTCCAGCATGAGAACTGAACGTCTGAACTAAGCCCGATCCCGGCCGAGACATGCTAAGTCTATATAGTCTTTCCGTAAAATATACCATCCGTGGACTCAAGGTGATGCCCAGCAGGGCCATTCTGAGTGTGCCGATAATGCACAGGGCTGACCATGTGCCAAGTAAATTATGAGCACATTCACAATGCTCTCCTCGTGTTCCGTGTGAGGATAGATTGAGTGCATCTTGCGTGCATTTAGAATGTCCCGGGTGAGTAACTATTTGCTGGCCCTGACGTGTCGTCACCATGTGCCGTCTGAGTACATTCAAGAACCATTTAGGATAGACCCAGGCTTTGCCTGCCAAGTGCATCATGTCTGTATCAGACGTCCATTTAAAATAGGCTTGTAATGGACTTGATGTGTGTTCAGGATGACCCCGAGTCATTTTATTTTGAATGGACCCACGGTACACCACAGTCAGCCCATGGTGAGTGGATGTCGAGGCCATTCAATATGACCACAACCTGGACTCAGCCTTATTCTCGCCAGAGCATG